TCCCGGACGTCGGCTCGCTGATCGCCCACCTACCGGCGCACACCGGCGACCGGCCGTTCAAGTGCGAATTCTGCGGTAAGGCGTTCAAGCTGCGCCATCATATGAAGGACCACTGTCGCGTGCACACCGGCGAACGGCCATTCCGGTGTACGCTGTGCGGCAAGACCTTCTCGAGGTCGACGATACTCAAGGCCCACGAAAAGACACATTACCCGAAGTATGTGCGCAAGTTCCTGTCCCCGAGCCCCGTGGACCCCTCCGAGGAAGAGGCTCCGCCGCCGCCACCGCCGCATCATTGAGTTCGCCTTAGCCTCAGCAGCAAAGACCGCCGCCACCGCCGCTATGCCGCCGCCACCGCCGCCGCCGCCACCGCCGCCACCACCACCACCACCACCACCACCACCACCGCCGCCGCCACCGCCACCGCCGCTACCACCGCCGTCGTCGCCGCCGTCAGTGACGACGACGACAACGATCCTCGTAGGGGACGTTCTGCTGATCCACGACGCATTCACGTTGTCGTCGTCGCCGATCCCGTAAACGGCCTGGCGACGACAACGATGGTACCGTCCCCGCTTCCGGTGCCGCCGCCGTCGTCGCCGTCGTTGCCGCGACGCGTCCCTTCGACATCATCCCGCATCCGCACATTCTGTCCCGCTCCCGAACCCCCGCACGTTCCCCGATTCTCCACCGACGCCACCACCCACCTCCTCTCGCCCATCTGCTGATCGCGAGCGTCGCGTCGCGCGACTCCCCGCGTCAACGGTCCCAATAATCGAGCGACGGGGCAAGAAGCCGGCGGTGTTTCTAGTTAGTCCTGTGATTTTGGTTAGGATGGTTGGTAAACGCGTGTTCAGGGGGAGGGACACGTTAATAACGAGCTCCCTCGTTTAATCAGTGCTTTAAGACGAAACGTTTAGCTTATTATATACATATATAAATATATATATAGATATATATATATTATAAATTATACGTATATATATATCGATAAATTATTAAAGGTATATATATACATATATATACATACACACACATACACACAACATACATATACGAGCGACATGGGGTTAGTTAAATGAGAGATAAGAGAGAGAGAGAGAGAGAGAGAGAGAGAGAGAGAATGGGGAAAACTGGCAAAGAGCGACACGGAACGAGAAGGGTAAACGGGGAGGGGGCGAGAGGGGAAAATTTGAGCCGCCACGGTTGGTGCTTTTAAGAGATTTTGATAAAATGCTGTGAATATTATATTGATTACAATTAACTATAAACTATTGTAATAATGTACTGACGTTGTACGATGTACGATGCGACTGTTGTTGATATGATTGAGAATATTTTATACAGTTGACACGGGGGGTTGGGAATAGAACGCGCGCGCCGACGATGAGGACACGGCCGGAAGTCGGGTTGGGGAAGACAGGAAACGTCCACTTAGTGAAATTCTACGCGGTGCAATTCGGTGGACACGCGGTTTATAAATTCATTAATAGGAAAAAGTGAGAGAGAGAAAGAGAGAGAGAGAGTGTGTGTGTGTGAGAGAGAGAGAGAGAGAAAAAGAGAATTTATTACGAGTGCGCTGGCATTAGTGGCCTCTTCGATTAACTTTTGTTCCTCATTTTTCTCCAAGACGATATCACTATTTTTTTTTCTGCGGTCCGATCGTCGCGAGTCGACGGTTAATCGTGGACGGCATTGTGCACCGTAACGAGAAACGCCGATCGAATCCTCGCACGTGTCGAAAGAGTCTTTCGTTCGCAGGTCCTCGCCGTGCGTCCTTCCGCGAGTAGCACGCGATCCCCCGCGTCCGCGGGGCCTCGCCGTTTCCGCTTGCAGAACGAGAGTCGCGAACGAGCGTGCGACGACGCACGGTGGCCATTGAGACAGTGCAATACCTGACTACGCGACACACTATTACGCTACTTCTTTTTTTTTATCCGTAACTTAATTCTTATTTAACGTTACTTGTGTCCTTAAGTAAGCTAGTTAGATAATCCAGTCGCGTTGAGATTCGATCTCCGGACGACGTCCACCTTTCGTTCCGCTCGCGAGCTCGTCTTTATTTATTTATAGATCTCCCTGGACCCCCCAAACGGGGAGACACTCGGACGGGCGTGATCTCGGAAAAAGTGCGAGGATCTCACGTGGATTTCATCCTCTCGCGGTATACGGAATATCAAAGTTAAACGCGATACCGCGTACAAACTTCCGCGATAGAGATCGATAAGGTACAGGATGTTCGGTAACAGGCGTGTTCCTTATTTCTGTTTGGGGCGCAAGATCGAATTTTGCAATTTGTCTTGTGCTTCCTACGAGAGACAATAGAGAACGTTTTCCTTTTCTCAGTACACACGTAATTTGAAGTAATAACAGTACACGGAGAGACTTTTCTCCTGAAAATCGTGTAATCGTGGGACAACGTGGTATTTTGAAGAACTTTGTGAGTCTTTTAAAAATTCACCATACATTTTACTAGTAAATTGTGTGGCAAACCGTGAGAAAATCCTCATAGAATTGTCCAAAGTGCCACGTTGTCCCATCATTTTCGGGGTAAATTTTCAAGGAAAATTCTCTCCGTGCAATTACCGATAGCGATCCGAAAACTTGGGAAAGTGACAAAATCACTTGGCCGCCCGCGACTATTGCCTCTCACGCGTATCGTCCGCGTTGTGCACTGTGACCCCCGCGACGCACGTCCGAGTAATACCGAGAACCAGTATTCGAGATACATACTTTTGTTTTCCTACTAGGTAAGGTAAGGTAATTAGCGCGCACGCAAGTGGCCTGTGCGAGCAGACCGACGGCTCTGTTTTTTTTTCTTTTTTTTCGGAAAACGAACGGGACGACCATCGTCGACGGCGGCCGGCGGGTTCGATTCCTCGAAGGCGAAGGTACAAACGTAATTCCCATTGATTTCGCTCCGCCCCCGCGTCCCCCGCGGGGTAATTTAATTCGGCGCGACACGCGAGTGCGCGCGGACGGAAAAACAGCCGCGTCCTCGCGGATCCTCGAAAACGGTAAACACATTATCATGGCCGGAGCGATCGCATGCGATTGCGGGCGAGCGCGCAACGAGGCTCTTTTCCCCGGCCTCCTCCTTTTAAGCGATTCGATGAGCGCATTGTATATTTAGCAGCCACTTACTTTCCGTCGTCCTCCTTGCAAGGGCCTTCCCCTTCGCCCGCTTCGACGGGCGAGCGGAGTCGCTCGAAATCGATCGATCTCTGAAATATTCATCGCATTCCGTGCGCGGAGGCCTGCGGAACGGCACCGAAGGAATCGCCTTGCGGGAAATAGGGAGGGCATCGCGCGGCGCGAGCCGATTTCGGGTCTCCCTCGAGTCGCCGCGGGTAGATGATCTCTCGAGCCTAGAATGCGAACCCTCGTCACCGACAGACGCGTCCACCTCGGAAAAGCGTTATCTCAATTCGAGCCCCGCGCCGCGCGCGAGAAGGGCTGCTTTCGAAATGTATTGCGCGCCGGGCTATTTTTACGGGCGACTTTAACTCCAACGAGCCTTAAATTTCGGCCAAACCTTTATTCTCTTTAGTTAAATATTATTTTTTATGTCGGATATTTAAAATACTTTTCGTATCTTATTGGATATTATATTATTGGAGGACGCACGAGAATCTAAAATGATTACAGCACATGTTCCTAATTCGATGTCGTACGCTGGGCGTACGCGTTTTACTCGTCTTGGACGTCCTGGGGCCGGCAATGCGACGCGCAGTGCGCAATCGGTACAGCGAGATGATTTTCTTTGAAGCTGTGATGACTATACGAATTGTTTTTATTCGGACGCGCGACCTTTGTCGCGCGTCCTCCCGCGCGCGAATATCAATCGCTTTTCACCTGATTTCGAAATCGGCGCGTTTACGTCTCCAGCGGCGATGACGATCTCTGCGATTTCTGTGATATTTCGCGACTGCATCGGCTATTCCATTGATTAGCGCGCAGTGCACCGGTCACTTATCGTTTTACATTCCATCGCTGTCCTTAGTTTTTAATCTCGGAGATATAAGATGCTCTCGGTCCTTTTTCGAGAGTCGGGGGGGGGGGGGAGGGGCGGTTTTTTTTCACGCGCGTGATTCAATTGTGATCTCACGAGCGGCGTTAAACTTAATACACGTTCTTAAACAATTGGTTCGCCCTAACGAATTTCACCTTCGGATTCTGCGCTCGCTTCACCTAAATCCCTCGCACGCGCAGCACGATATGCCCTTGGGAGACGTAGACGCGGGCGGGAGCGTATTCGTGGTAAAACGCTTCCGTATTTTAAGTAGAAATTTTATTCTGTTGTACAAAATATAAATCTTTGATTATTTATTCGAAATCGAACCCAAGCGTGATTTATTTTGCACACCCGTGTAAACAAAGAGATAGCATTTAAAGTATTGCGCGCGTCTATAGCGCGAATTAATTTGTTTCGACGGACAGAAGGATGAGAGAGTTTCATTCTACCGGCGATATACGAGCACCGCCGGTCTCGAGAGCGCGTAGCTTTAATTAGAATATTCGTCCGGCAAATCGGCATTCCTCTGAAAACGGGATTTTAATTAATATTTACGAGTGACGGTGCCGTTAATGACTGGCAACCGAGAGGGTACATTGAAATGAAAGTCCTGCCGCGATTCTGAACGAGCCTGATTAGAGTTGGCGTTTGGCAAATGGATCATAAAGTTTCCAAATACCGTATCAAAAATGCTGTCAGCGGGTTGTAAATTCCGGAATACGATTAATTAAATCCTCGCGCAACGCACGGCATTGCACAACGGACGGCGACGCGTCCGTCCGTCTATCCGCTCGCGGTATTAAAATAATGATATCGCGAATTAAACATACGGCGCGCGCGCTCTCTCTCCATAAACTCGTAACTCTACACTCGAGGCTCGAATGCAGCGACCATTTCTATCGCGCGATTCGCCAATTCTTCGTGTCTCGGCGTCATTCTGCATTCACATATTCATTCATTAACTTATTCAGTTAGTCGTGTTTCGCGACACAAAGTGCATCTGACCAAACGGAATGGGTGTCTCGCGTGCATTTTTATCGCTGACCGATAGACGAAAGGGACAGCGGAAATCGGGATTATTCTAATCGGCCGACTCCTGCGCGGCAAGTACGTCAAGATTTTTATTTAGCATTTTCTACGTAACGTAAATTGAATCCGGCGAAAACCGAGCGGATATCTCTCGCGTATTTTTACGTAACCGCCGCGCGATAGACGAAGAGAATAACGGAAATCGGAATTATTCTAATCGCCGTGGAAATTACGTCGAGATTTTATTTAGCAATT